AAACAAATTTTCGTGATTTATGCGATCACATAGAAAACTATTTTAATTAAGTCCTAACTGCACTTTAAATGCTTTATGTATGGCAGCCATGCAGACGGCTGCGCCAGCAACGGCGCGACGTTGCGCATCAAATAGTCCGTGCGTTTGCCTCAGCGCGCTCATTACTGCGCCATTTGAAGAGCCACGTGATTGTGGCGGTGGCGCGGGTTAGAACGACAGCGTTAACGGCAGCGCCCACAGTGACGGCCGGGAATGCGCTTAGGCTGCGAAAATGTGCTGACCACGCCCCGCATGTCGCGTATGCAGCGAGTCGTTTGCGCGCTCATGCGAATTTCAGTTTTTCATTTCCTACAGCGCTTGGTGCTCCAGTTAACAGTTACTGCTTACCGCTGACCGCCGCGTCGCTTGTCTAGCCGAAGGCTTGCATTCGTACACTAATTTGCGCATTCACTTTTTACGCGCTCTCATTCAATTTGTGGTCTAATAATTATTTTCAACCAAATCTTTTCACACCTCCTCTCCCCTCCCTCCACTTGCCTCGTATAGCCGTATGCGCGCGACTGGTCAACGCAACAAGTGCGCCAGCTACTGGACTTGGGCGGCGCAACATTTCTGAATTTCCTAATTACGGAGCATTTCGAATTAATCAGCGATTTGTGTGAAGTGGCCGCCGTGCTGAAAGCGGCGCAAGCGACGCGCGAAGCGGCTGACCAATTGGATGTATTATGGTTGAATGCGTTGCTGCAACATGCTAGCGCGCTCAACAAGGTACGTGTGCTCAACAATTTATATGCTTTATTYTTAATATTTGTTGTAGTTAATGCCATATTTTTTATTGTTTCCCCCCACCCCACTTGTCGCTGTCTATCACTTTTTAATGTTTTTTCTTTTCTTTCTTTCCACAGCACTCGATACGCGCGCTGCCGCCTCTACTGCTGCGCTTATGCAACGTCACAAGAACCTCCGTTGCCGGTTGTAATCTCCAAATGGCGCTACTTAGCCTACAACTATTGCAGCGCTTACATGCGCGCCACAACAATGCGCGGGCCTTGCAAGTGCGTTTGGAGCGTTTAGCGCGCCGCCTTGTATTTAGCTGCAGCGCCGCGCCACTTCAGCGTCAGCAGTTATTGCAGCAATTGTCGGAATTGGCTGGGGATCGACTAACGGCGTTTGGCAGCAACAATACATCGACGACTTTGTAAGTTGCCGCAGCGCGGCGTGCATTTCAATGAAATTGGAAAAATAGAAGCCGGTCGAGTGCCAGTAATCGCTCACTGTTCGCTTTCTTTTTCAATGCAATGAATTTTTGTTTTTATATTTTCCTATTATTTTGCCATATTTCTTACCTACCTTCGTTTGTTCTTCTCTTTCGCATGCTTCACCGTTATTAAGCAGCTGGCAGCAGTTGTTCTTGGACACTGAAGACTGCGAACCGGCTGCTCAACCATTAGCATCGTTGGCGAAGGAGCAGCATCAGCTTCAGCAGCGCATAATTGACGAGAAGTGGCTGTTGAGCCAGGTGAGTTTATCGCTAGCATGCTTGAGTGCTACTTGTACGCTTCCGCTTTGTTGCCCCCTCAACCCACCAGGCACTTGACTCGATCCAGCGCTCAAGCAGTGATGAGTTGAAATCATTCACTTGTCATGCTTGTGTCCCACGCTATTTGCTGTACCCTTGGCATAATTGCTCGCCATTAGTTGCAAGCACTTATTTATGATTTAAACAATTTTTTTTTTTGCATTTTTTTATATTTTTTTTCTGTAAATTTTTTTTATTTTTATATGTAAACTTTTTATATATTTTTTTGTTTTATTTTTATTTTTGAAATTTTTCCATATTTATAATATTTTTATAATTTTTTGCGATTTTTTGCATTCTTCCATTTGCCTGTAGTGCTCTCCTTTTGCATTCGTGCGCGTATTGTATTTCCTTTTGTTCGTGTCCGTAGTTATTTGCCAATTATTTCATTGATTATACAGTGGTGCGTTTTTATTAGTAGCTCTTAGTGCTCGCTTTGTTGTTGTAATGTCAGTATGGCATTTCATTTGCATATTTCGCGTCTCGTGCAGTCACGTTTCACAGTTATTTTTAACAAGTTGTTGTTCCACTTGTGCTTTTTGTCTTCAATAAATTCGCTGAAAGCAATATTCGAAACAAAAAAATGTGTGTTGGCAAGCCTGTGCGACGGCGTGCAATTACCAAGGTGCTTAACTAAATTGCTGATTCAATATTTTATGCAACTAATTCCGTGTTTGTGCATTTAAAAATGCAATTTGCCCCCAAATAAACGAATTTTTCAAATCAAGCGCTTGACGCACTCAAAGTGCTTATCGTTTTCAATCGTAATTTTTTCACACTTTGCTAACAAAAAAATAATAAAAATCCATAAATTAATTAAGTTTTCTAAAATCACTTTACGCTGCGCTGTTTTTCAATATTTTTTTTTATAATTTTTGTTTTTCAATTAAAGTATTCGCCGATTAAAATGTGTATTGCGGTTGTCACCACTGTGTTAATTGAACTCATGTTTTCAATGGATTTACTTATGTATAGTTTATGTTCTTAGTATTTTAGGGTCACCAACTTGCAGGTGGTAAATAGTAAATAAAAAATTTTCTTTCCATACTTAAAGGTTTCAGATTTGAAGCTGCTTTTTGGGAAAAATCTTGAAAAACCCCATTCCAGCGACTGATATTTACAAATTTGATGTTGACGATGTGGCAGCAACATTTTGAATTAGAAAACTATAACATTCAAAACATAAAGATATTTTTTAAGAATCTATACAGGATATTCAAAAATAAATAAAGATCCATTTCAAGGTTCCTTTTTTTAAAGATACAGTAACTTCAAATGCAATGARGAAAGTTTATTATTATTTGAAAGCACTTTCTTTGACATTTATTCTTTAAAGATTACCTCTTTCAAATGTTGGCCATGGCTACATCTCAGATAGAGTATCCGTTGAGTTCAATTTCAGCATTTCAACTTGTAAATGGCGAATGACACGCGTGATGCTTTGCTTAAAGGCCAGAATTGTGTGACTTTAGACTTTACATATCACACGATCTTGGTCGTCTTGTCGAAACTTAAATTTAAGACATCAAATAGTCGGTCGCCATTGACGGTGACGTTGTCACCGGCTTCACTTTTGAAAAAAATATGGACGATGATTCCAGCGGCCTCAAATCGCTGCATTAAATGGCAGCTCTTTGACCCTTTCAGGTTGCTTGTCGTTCCAAATGCAGCAATTTTGCTTGTTTACATACCCATTGAACCAAAAATGAGCCTCATCTCAAAACAAAATTTTCCTCGAAAACTTTGGATATTTTTGGAGCTTTTGAAGAGCCGATAGAGCGAAGCGATGTCGCTTGGGAAGGTCGAGGTGCTTCAGTTCTTGCACAAGCTGTATGGTATATATTGGTAAAAATGTTGTGATTACGGAAAATACATTGTTTTGTTATAGCTGACGTTTTTCAATACTGGATCTAATATCCCGCGTTGTCTATATTCTAATAGCCTGATATCTTTCATTTCAACCTGCAACAAAATTTTCCACATATTCTTCAAGAAGCAACATCCAGGTGTGTTGGAATAATTGTATAAAATCTTTTCTTGATATTTTGGCTTTCGCTAAAGCCCAATTATTCTCTATTAAATTGGCGTCTGTGATTTCGAATATAATCTGATTTTCTTGTTTCCATGGAGCACAAGTTAGGTTAGGTACATAGGCTAATATTCGTGAGATCACGAGTAATTCCACATGGACTGCTAGAGATGCTTGTCTGTTGTGTAGCCCAGAACCCCTAAGTATGTATCAAAAAGTTTGTCGTATGACCACAAAGCGCCTACAGCCATATTTATTGATGTAGCTAAATCTACGTATGCTCCAGACGATTCGCCGGGTTCAAAGAAAGTCAAGACCTTAGTCTGGCGAATGCTGAACAGTGAAGGAGAAAGTATCTACATTTTTCCACCTCATCCAAATCCSTGCAACTTTGACAAGTTGTGTCCTCATAAATTTTAGCTCTTGGGTAGAGAGTCTGCTTCTAAGTTTCGGATCATTGTCGTATTCAATTCATGTTATTTTTGACTCAAAACTTTCTAGCAGACTTCAGTAAACCCTCCATATACGTTTTATTTAATTTTACAGATGTTTAAGATTTCTGTGAAGCACCTCAATAAACCAAATCCAATAAGTCTGCATATATACAGTTGAACTTCTATAACTCGAAGTTCTCCATAACTCAAACCATTGAAATGGCAATAAAAGTCAAATTTCATACAAATTTCCTCTCTAGTGTCTCTAACTCGAAGTTTTTTTTTGTGGATTATGGTGATACTGCTTGTATTCCGATCCTTTGGTTGAGGTTAAGCTATTTCCCTTGCTTTGATTCCTGCAAGTTGCAAGTTCATAAAATAATAGGTTGTCAAAAAAGTCTTGCGGTATTTGTTTTGGGATTTTTATTGAATTTTCAATTGTTCATAAAATTTTTTTTTTTGATGAATCATGCCCAGCTCTTGACCGATGCTATCGTTGTTACTATGCCGGTCTCTTTCGACCAATTCAGCGATTTTATCGCAATTTTCGACGACAGGCCTTCTGGAGCGTGGCGCATCTTCGACCACCTCTATACCAGAACGAAAACGTTGAAATCATCGTTGTGCGGTGGAAATGGAAACTGTATCGGGTCCATAAACTGCACAAATTTTATTGGCGGHTTGAGATBSATTTTTGCCTTTATCGTAGTAGTACTGTAAAATATGCCGTATTTTCTTTATTTTGCTCATGTTTGCGACGCTATAACTCACGAACGACTTAAAAGAAACGACAATCAACACGTGTTAGCGCGTGAAATGAGCTTTCCAAAAAGGTATAGCATGACCCGATGCGACGAATAAAACTAGAACTACGCGCTTCAGAGCCAACTAGCGATAATACCGCAAGACTTTTTTGACAACCTAATATTCGGTAGAATCAGAACTTCATTACTCTTTCATAACGGCGTGAAGTCGTCTCTAGACGGTCTTCGTTTTCGTAATAAAGTTGAACGATGTGTAAGCATTGTTCAAGGGTAAGTCTTTCCAGGATGAAATGTCAAACAATATTGAATAAAAATAACATAAAAACACTCACGCGTGATCTGTCAAAAAAGACGATTGAAATAATTACCTTGACCTGGATCATCCGTTATAAAGTTCGTTATTTTTCGAACCCACCGGGTATAGTATGTTTCAAAATTATCTACTTGAATACACATATGTGGAATCCCTCCTCAACTCCTCGCTTCATTTTCGTTGAACCAAGCCACTTGCATGTAGTCTGACATGGCACCTGTATTGTTGTGATGCCTTCGTTATACGAGTAATCCGGTGCTATGTTTACATTACAGACAGTTATCAGTTTGGGCAGCCACCTCATTATTAGACAATACACTTCAAATCTTAACAAAACAGAAATCAAGGTGTAATTAAATATCTATATTTAGTTAGTGTTGCTGTTAAGTGAGCTGTTGTCTATGACAGCTCAACAGGAAGTATCCCTAAGGGAACATTGTACTTCATAACATTGAATTATATTCACCCGAACGTACAAGAGCGATACTGTGCTAGCGTTTCCTACACAGCGTGGGCGTGTTCTTATGGACAAACTAAGCAGTGGATTTACTCGTTGCTTTTGTATACATTAGGGAGGGTTGCTTTGACTTTAATCCAAATGCCATTAGATACTACTTTGGGGGCATTAATCCAGTTGCGCCAAGTACTATTCAAAATGGAGAGGGATAAGCTTTGTTTTTTTCATCATTTGTGTTGCTTTATCCTTTGTCTCGAAGTGATTGCATAGAGGCGACTGCCTGTTATTCTCTGTTACCACGACAGTAAAATCTACAGAACTTTAGCGAACTAAGATTCGTATTCGTCTAAGGACTGTGTGCACTTGAGGTAGATATGCCCAATTTTTGCAGCGTTCARAACTCAATTATCGTGTGAACGTATTTCGATATTTTCAAGGTATTCATCCAACAGACTATCTGACTTGCTGGTCAAGACAATAATAAAGATAATGACATTGATGTAAGAGATAATCGAAGTGATCTAGGGAAATTTGCTCTAAATCGATAAATAAGTCTTATTATTACATACTGAAATGTTATGCTTGCTTTCATAACTAAAATAATTTCAATTGGTCTACTTTATTTCGGTAAWAGTTAGGTTAGGTAATAATTTTAATCTTAGCAAATAGTAGTTATGATATGGTCACAAAGGGCCAGCATTCTGAATAATTCCAGGAGCTTGCTGATCAGGACTGGGCAATCTACAATCAGGTGTTCTGAAGTTTCCTGATCCATGTCTTTCATTACCGTTATAACATGTAGTATCTATTTCTTAGATCTTACAGCTAGATATTACTTATATAACGTTGAAATCCAAGTAGTAAATACCAAACTACATAGGTGAACATGGCGATGATCCGAAGGTACAAAAGCTTCTTAATTCTAACCAAAAAAGTGTCTTCACGAATTATGGGTTTCATGTGATTCCTGTTTTTCTGTAGTATACATATTTACGTGTGTTGAATCCGCAGCTATTTCATTCCTTGCTAACTTTTTCTATATGCCTGCATTAAAACAAATATATTCTCCTTTTCATTTATTTCATATTTCCGCTTGTAATCTGCACGCAAACAAATTGCCATCCCGTCATGCACTACGACCTCGTTTTCTTCCCGTTAACCACTCGCAGTTAATTAAATTCTCCGCACAATCGGACTATGGCGCTCAGCAGCTATCGCGCATTCTACTGGAGATACAATCCGAGCAAAAACTCTATAAAATATTCAACAGCAGCGAGTTCGCGGTGGCGCGAGTGTTGCGACATGTAATTGCTAGCTCAATGCAAGCGATGCTGGCCGCCTTCCGCAACAATTGCATACAACATAATCCACATATACACTACATGCAACCGAATCCATTAGTGCGCGTTACGCTGGCCGTCTTGATGACACGTATTAGCGAGGAAATTGCCGCACCAGGCAATCGAAGCGCCAACCTACACATACCAATTATGACAACACTGGGCGGAGGTGCTACCACAGAGGCGGTGCCGATAAGCGGCGTGCATACCCAGGCGCATGTGGCAAGTGACGGTGGTTTTTACCTGTGCGACAGTGTGGCCACACTGTTGGAGCATGTAAAGAAAGTGGAGGACACGGCGCTGTTCTACATCGAGTCCAGGTTCATTGATAAGTTTGTGTGTGAGCAACTCTTGCGACACGAACATGTGGCCACACTGTTGGGCTTCTTGAATTGGTGTTGCCTGCAAGCGCAGCAACTGCTGCAGCGGCAAGCGGAACAAAAATGTCAACAACAACAATTTACGCTGGCACTGTTACAATGTATTGCGGCGTTGCTGCAAGAGCGCTTCATCTGGACGGAACTTAATCACATGGAAAAGCCAAGTGTCGCAACGACAACAACAGCAACGGCGGATGGCAGTGCCGCTACGGCAGCGTCGAATGCCAACACGGCTGGCAGTCTATTGTCGCCGCCACAACGCAATTTGTTGTTGTGCCGTGTGCTGGACGTCTTGGTGTTGGCCGCCAAKCAGTCGCTGCAACACACCATCTTCTACAAGCATTACAAGCAACAAGCGTTGCTGGTCGACGGCAGCGGAAGTGTCGATGGCCAGCATGCAAGCATTGACAGTGAACAGCAGCATATCTTCAATGCTTTGTCTGCCGCAGCGGCTTCCACGGCGCTAGAGGCCGCTTTGCAAACAAAGGACAACGAAGCGGAAGTCAATGATGTTGCCGTCGGACGTCTGCTGCAAGCGTATGCACCGCAGGCTATTTTCCTAGCGAAGTTGATAGAGCTGCGCGCGGCRGAGACAACGAGTGGCGCGGCCCACCTCTCAGCTGCATATCTCACGGGTGGCGCAGGTAACGGTGTCTGCTCGTTGGGCAGCGCTGGTGGTGCGTTGAGTGTTGGTGGCAGCAGCGGCATGGGTATGTCCTCAGGTGCCACAGGTGCCGTTGGTGTTGGTGCAACGGCCGGTGTACGTGCGGARTTCGACAATGGCAGTAATGCGGCTGGCATACAAATACCAATGGTGAGTTGCTTGCACATGAGAATATAAATATTATGACGTCTTTTTTGTATTTGTTGCTGTCTTCTGTATCTTTTTATACTTCTACTGCCTTTCTGCTTCTCTTTCCAGCACCTTTTGTCCACGATTGGAGTCGCGGTGTTGCGCACCCATCAGTTTTATGCTTATGCCGTGACGCCGTTCGAAATAATACAGCAACAACAACGCGAATTGCGTATCGAACAATTGTCACCTGCAAAGCGTGCCGGGCAACCGTCACAAACAGCAACCTCTGCGGCCGCGACGGCAGCAGCTTCGAGTGGCAAGCTGCCAACGATACCCGTGGAGAGTCTCAGTGATGTGGATGTGCTAAGAAAATTCGTGAAGAGGTAAGTTTCAGTTTCACGGCTCTTGAAACATTACATTTTTCGTAGAGKTTCTTGACTGAAAGTCGATTTTGGTAGTAGTCGCATTGTTGCTGCCTCAACTTAATAAGCTCGGCTTATGTAAAGAATGAAAAATAGTTTAGAAATTATCTCTTTCAAGGTCATAGTATAATTTTAACAGTTATGTGCATTTCGATATGTGGAACTTGTTGTTTTTGGTTCGAGCGGTCCTAGTGGCCCTAACTTACAACATCACTATATATTTCCGTTATATYCGAACGTGGTTAAATTATCACAAAAGTGAAATTTCATGCTAAAACATTTACCGTTAGTTGACTAGTTTCGCTTTTGTCTACTTCGCTTGCCAAAGTCATTGTCAACTACATCCCAACAACAACATGGTTCTTATCATCCTGATGTGCTTGTTTCTAGTACTAACGTTGCTGTTGGAGACAAATTGTCAAAATGTCGGTRACACTGCAAACAGCAGACAAGACGGAWTTGTGTGTGAAGTCGTGCTTCGAAAAGGAGAGACAAATTSTAATTTGTTGCAACGTGCGCATATAGTTGCAACATAGTTGCGCACACAGATTTTGTTTTATTAAAATAGTTGCTAACAAAAAAGTTTGGAGATTAGACATTTTTATGTCGGTCTGTGACTTTTTGTTTTTGGATATAGTAGCTTTAAATTTTATTCCTTTCTTAATAACTACTCTTTATTAGGAGGATTAATAGTGAACAAATAGCTGAAGCAACTCAGGACTTCCTCTGTTGTTAGACCAAGTATCGTCTGGGTAGCCAAAAARATATCCCTTAGAAGGCGAGCTAAATTGAGGAAACATTTCTCTCCAGGGCAATGCGCTGGGTTTAGGACACGCCATGTAAAAAAACATTCGAATGAAATGGACACAACAGTCTCCGAAGAGAGACCCCGTTTGATGACGACCAGGGCAAACGCATTAAGGATGGGAAGGTGCCGCTGCCCAGCTGGTTTGATGTGCTCATAAGAGTAAACACAAAAATCAATGCCGTCCAAGTAGTGTGGTGGATAGCACAATGGCTGGGCAAGACAAATAACTCCTTGTGGGTTCGCTGTGGGATTCGTGGTGGAGGACACAGTCCGTCACAGAGTTCAGACATTCACCCCGGTGGATGAACATCTAGCCACAATTCGGCCGAAGACAGCATCTAATGAGTCGGCGTTAAGAGTTTCGCGATAAAGGTTCTGCAAAAGATTTATGGCGAATACCGTTGTCAATGGTACGACGAGAGACAAGATATACGACGAGATTGACAGTACTCACCGGAGGAAGAAGAGGAAGCAAATATATCCACTCCGACGGAAAGGCCATGTAGAGAAGGACCTGGCTGCACTGGCCGTTTCGAAATTTCAAAAAGTAAGGGACAGCTCAAAATTAACTGCCATCGAAGTCACTTAACAGTTAGTCTAAGAAACGAGCGGGTGGGGTCCGTAACCCAAAAGTAAAAGGGGTGGTAGTTGAGGGTTTCATTGGGCATATCATGAGGTCGTTAGTATCATGCGACGAATCTTTGCATGCATAGCATGTGTTTAATATATCCGGGCCTATTTCATATAAAATGCGTTTTAATTGAATACATTATCCATAGCGAATTTGTGGAAGGCCCATTCTGGTTTCTCGCTGGCCCACGTGTTCTGGCTAGCTGGTGTTTCWACAAGTATATTTTCTTCCGAACAGAAATTGCTCTCAAAACATCTTTCTAGTCTGCTCCCAATCAAAAATAGAGTTGAATTCGAATTCGAAGGCTAACGGTGCAAAATATGTCAAAGAATGCGTAGAAGAAAAGCATGAAATAAAACGTTATTGTTGTAGAAACAGTCGAGACCTTGCGGATTCGGAAACTTTGCGTTTTCGTAGATCCTACTCGCGCAGAATCGCAGCTTAACTATACGGTCATATCTGAAGTTTCGTAATTATTCCGAGACGTTACTTGTATTTAGTCACGGTCACGCTGGGCAAATTTCAACTTTTAGCAATCTCTCGAGTTGTTATTCGGCGATTTCATCGACCAACGACTTTATTTTATCCACATCGGCTTCAAGAGATCTTCAAAGACGTGGATGTCGAATCATTCTTGTGTTTATGGTCGTTTGTTTTTTGCTGCAATAAGATAGTGGTCGGAGTCGATGTTAGGATCTTGGAGCGCTCACACATCTAAAACACTAGAGACGTGTCTTCCGTCTATCACAACATGGTTGATCTGGTTGGTGGCTTTTCGGTACGCAGACAGTCAGATAGCTTGGTGAATTTTCCTATGCTAAATTCTAGTACTACAGATAACCATATTTCGGGGCCGCGATGAACTCTATCAGCCCCAACCCATTTGGCGATGTTTCATTATGGAGGCTGCTTATTAATCACTTTTCCAGTACAAGCTATTTTGAGGCGTGTTCTCTCCTRCAACTCGAATTTTTATGTGCTTCCCCAACTCGATTGTGAATTAGTCTCATTATGGCATAATTTCGCTTATTAATTCCTGCAGCAGTCTTTAGGGTATCGAAACTCAATTAACAATGCGCCGCCAACAGCACTGACTCATTAATTTAATTAACTATATAATTATTACTTTTACGCAAACTTAGTTGAGGCAATTAACGCCACATATATATTTCCAGATATATACTGTATCTTTAGCTATATGCATATGCGTACTTATGTCTGTGTTAGCGAGGCTTCTAATACGTAAGCATAATTTACTGTTATTGCAGATTATCAATTTTTGGCTTTACCACACGTCAACAATTCGAGGAGTACTTTATGACATTCCTGCTATTAATCAATAAAGTTTACGACGAGAATATGGTTGACGAGCAGGAGCAATTTCAAATAAGATCCACATGCTTGGAAGCGATTTTGGAACTTTTAATTACATATAAAACTTTTCCAATTGTGGGTAATAAACTTTCGCATTTTCATCATACGACACGGTGGACTCGCATTAATTGCGACAGCATTAGGTGAGTACACATACACACACATACATATACGTACCTATATATGGACACACGAACAACTGGTAAGTTCATGCAAGAGATCGCAGCAGACACATTGTATATTTATAAGCGCACACACACACACACACACAAGTATGAGCGTCCAAAAGACTCCAAAGCAAGAGTATGGCTGCGTGTGTGCATGAGTGTCTGCGTTTGACTTGTCCGAACGCATAACTTTCAATTGTTGTTTGCCGTAGTCAAACTGTAGTTAACCAGCTGCTCGGCYAAACGCTACAAAAGCACCAAATACATACTGCCGGCGAGTGGCTCTCATAGTTGACACAAACTCACAGACGCTCTGCGCACTAAATTGCTCATTAGCAGCAATGCATAAAATTCTCTGGAGAGAAAAAAAAAAAAAAAAGAATGGAAAATAAGGACAGAAAAATTGTGTCGTCTATGTTGCGACAGTTCGTTGTTCAGCTTGTTTGTGAAAATAGTTTTCGGTGCGTTCTCAGAGATTGCTAACTACCACGGGTAATGCCAACCAGTCGCTGAGCACCACAAAAAACGCAATACAAAACAACCGCCGTGAGWCCCCTTAAAAGTTGAAAATTAGTCAAAGGTTGGTTATGACATGCACTTTCTGTTGATCGCAACTTTTTCTAACCTGTCGGTGTTTTGGAAATATACCGTTATACCTGTATGTGGGTATTCGTTTTCTTGTGCTCACTCAATGCACTGATTTTGGTGAAGTATCACTTTACTCTACAATTTCAAGGTTGCAATTTAAATTGTTGGAAAATTGTTAAAATCCTGGCTGCCTAAAATTCAACAATTTCCTACAGTCTCCGTATACGACATGTGAATCACCTGGAAATTGTAAATTGAGCTCAATTGTGGAATTGTAAATTTCTAAATTAAGCTCGTCAGCTTCCTAGTAATCACCGCCAGATGTAATAYACTTAWRCCAACGATTTTTCCAGYCYTGKAAACACTTTTCATATATYTCTTCGATCGACTAAAACGTGTTCCACATAGCGGCAATTTCAGATTGAGGAACGRGAAAAAATCACACTGGCGAATACGATGAYGGGTCGGTGATTCATKGCGTTTTAGGCTTTAAATATGGTCTCAATCTTGGCTCGTCTGAGCCCTTTTTTGTCACAATGTAAATAATGCTATTTGGAACYCAATTTGCTTACTTTCAGGATTTCTTCGTCAATAACCTCAAAAATATTTTCTATCCTCAAATATATTAGGTCTTTTAACTATATTTGTGCAGTGTGCCAAGATACTATTTGTCGTAACTTGAATATTATTCCAGTGTTCCAATATTCCAAACATTAGTTGAAAAGCTATTGCGTCCGTTTTATGCGTTACGACAACCATAATCCAAAAAAAAAAAAAAAAAAAAACCTATCCGCCACTTTGGTGGGATTAAGAGGCAAGCTGTATTAAGAGCTTCAATTGTAAGAATGCCCCGACTAGATAAGGCAATAATCGGTCATAACAACAGTCGGTATTACTCGTATAAGACGGCTTAAAAACACCTTGGGATATAGAGACTGGGAAGCTTCGTCCCAATTGTCTTATAACCCAGGCCTTGCCCCTCTGAATACCATTTGTTCCGTCACGCTGGAATACTATTCATATTMAAACAGSGTWTCAAAAATYAGCTTGATTCATTCTTCGACGCTCTGTTTYGGGATGAAATTGCCAGAAAGATGAAGAATTTCTTGAATAATACTATTTTAACCCTGTATCCCGGTTTGTGTTGCGATTATTTCTCCTTCTTTCACAGCCTCATTTTAAATTTGTTACAAAGCTTTCTTTCACAGAAATGTAAAGAAAAATAAATAAATTTCTAGTTTCTTTAAAATCTCGCTTTCGTCAGGAAATCTKGAAACACTTCTTCAGTCACTATGTTATCTATTTGTTTGCGGTTAGGTCAAGTGCTGTCCGATATCATATATGTCTCACACTCACTTACAGCTTCCGACGTCATTTTTATAACCTTTTGGGAAACTTAGACTATTTTTCATCAGAGCGTTAAAGTAAGGTTGAATTCCGCTTTAGTCTTGAGTCTACTGATGACTGAAATATTAGGTCGAATTTTTGTCTTATTTGTATCAGACGCAGACACTCCTGRGAGATCACAGCTTTTACAATAAGTTTTCCATAGCTGAACTCTTTATGTTCCATTCTAAAGACGAATCTGTTTGCACTGTTCCAGATAAATTGCATACATTTTGGCAATATCCTCAAACCAAGGTTAAGTTAGGTTATGAGCTCGATGCTTGGAGTGAACTCACATTGGCAGCTTTGAAGGGTGGTTSATTGTGGCATATACAACTCTTTTATAATAGATCATAAGACCCTCATAAATCGATAAAGCGCGTTGAGCCTTTTAACAAATTCATTGAGACGGTTAATGTYAGTTTCGACTATGTTTCTTAGTTCGATGGTAAGGCCCCCGAGATGTTTCAACTGCTGTCTTAAAAAGGCTGGAGAATGACGGAGAAAGGGCCTGGATATTTGCACCACACMTTCCTCTATACAACTTTAACAACTCCGACAAGGTACGCTTTCAGCCTTATCGCATGAAAACTTATTGGTTCATGTTCAGGATGAACCCGTATGTTGTTGTTGTAGCAGCAGAAATCTACTGAGCTGACAGTGCTTGGTCGTATAAATCTCCGAGACGTTCCGGTTACGTAAACTCGACTGTCGTGGGAACGATATGAGCCGCTATGATTGTGACTGCTGGAACTAAGCTCTTGAGACCGACATATATTGAGTCCCGACTTGATCGATTTCATTCAGTCCGGTAGTGGTATTCTCACAGCGAATGCTTGATTTTCGAACGATAGACCAATAATATTATATCTTCTGGAAATGTAATGAGCGTCTCTTTCTCTCTCTTACTCTCTCTCTCTCTCATCCTCCCGTTGTATTTTTATTTCTCTTTCTGCATCTTTATGCTCCGCAAGTCCGCCGAAAGCCTTCAGCTGCATCAACCTGCACTTTGGTTGTCAATAAAGCGCCGAGCATGCGAACCGGAACATTACTCCCGATATTTAGGACACTCAGTTGCAGTTGAGTTGAGTTGCATGTCCAACAGCCAAAACCATGGCCCTAGGCGTGCCATACTCAGTTTAATTGTGTTAATTTCGCAAATCCCYTCACTCATTTCGCTTTAATTTCTCAATCACGGCGATAACGCGCCACACAATTAACCCGCTATTATGCAACGACTGTGCGTGCCMCAGCTTGCCGCACACTCGCCGCTCTTACTGTTGTTGGCAGCAAGGCAATGAAATGAAATCATTGCCACGAGCATTCTTAACTCATTGACTCATTATGGCAGGCAAAAGGAAGTAATATATAACGTCAACGCGCACAACACAAAGGACAACACACACACACACACACACACGTGCGCATATTATACAAACAGATTTATTGTGCAAACGTGCGTGTTTATCCAGGCTGTGCGCCGGTATCCGCCTTCAAAGCGCAGACTGATACAATGTAGACATAACTGTACAATGCACAGCGCAAACAAAAGCGCCGCCGAAGTGGCAGTAAATATTGCAAATGTAAGTAAGTGCGCCCGAGTGCATGTACGAGTGCACTTGTGTTCGTCTGCTTATGCGCAAAYATGAGTGCAGTGTCATGTAGGACCTAAGAACTTGGCCAGCGCTGTGATTCAGTTGTCGGTCGGTCGGTGCGTGCRTAAAAAGGCGGTTTTCGCGGAGGGGTTACTGTGTCGTTATGAGTTTGCTTTAGAAAATAATTGGTGGCTTATTATTAAATATATTTAACTCTCAGTGTGGTCTGAAGTTAGAGTTTCCGCTACGTAAAGTAAGATGGCGCCAAAGTGGCCTGGGATCAAACATAGACTGATTTCCTTTGTGATGCCAGTTGTCCCTTTCGGGGCAGCTCGGAACACAATTCCCGTAAGCTGCTCCACACCATTCAACTTCTTCAAGAGTTTTCGAAAGCCATGTACCATAGAGCAACACCTTATATATTGAGGCACTAGCAACACGGCGCATACCACAAAGTTACTTTGGAGTGGTGTTGATGGTGTGGACAGACGAAAAAGCTTTACTTTTAGGCAAAAGGTAAAATGCCTGCTCCTCCGAGCGATGTTTGAAGTAATGGTTGCTAGAATAACACAAAGTTTCTTTTGGGTAGTGTTGATAGTGGGCTGACCAAGAAACTCGTGCTTTTCGCAAAAGAGAGGTTAATAGTGTTGTAGGRGTCCTCCTTCCATCTATCTATGCGAATGCCCGGCCTTTAGCAGCTAAGAATCAATAAAATCCACGGCTTCCAATATTCATAGTTAAGAGACATTGGGAAACTGTGATGGAAATGAATCAGAATCTATTGAGTTTGCTGGATAAGGCTTAATTTGGCTACTGCCCGTAATCACAAGTGCGACTGCGTGCGGTCTGGCGT